CGACGGTCAAAGGCCACTTCCCATTCAACGCGTCGTCGCCGCTTAGCCCCGCGCATTCCGTGTCCCCCGTCACATTCATTTGACGATCTGCCATGGATATCCACCCTAGATGCGGCCCCAGAGCTCCTCAACCCATGGGACATTGCAGATCTCTCCCTCATTCCCTTGGATGATTCACCCTCATCTGGCCCGGGTCCCGTTCGCCGGAGAAAGACATCGCTGCGATCAAGCCCCGTTGCTTCTTCCAAGAGTCACCCTCCCATATCACCTGGATCCCCACTTCCTATTCGCGACACCTCTCTCCTATCTACGCCCTCTGTATCAACACCCCGGTCTCGTTTCCTACCCTCCCGAGTCTTATTCCATAACCTCATGCCAGTCTCCTGCGACTCCCCCTTCTAAACAGTCCATTCCACCATCATTGTATCACCAGCTTTGAACGTCAAACCTCTGAGTTATTACTGCCTTTCGAAATTTGCTCGTTTCGCGACATTCCAATTCGGCTTTTCACCTCCTAACTAATCAATCCAAATCAGATCCGCGTGTTATCACTCTATACGCCTTGCTATTAACAATTCTGCTACACACGCCAAACGCCGCCTCGATTCCATTCTGCTTTAGCTTCAATTAACGCTTTCAACAACGCGCCTTATTTAAATCTGCATTCACGACCCATTGCACGCTACATAACATCAGCATACTCTGACAAGACCATCGGCCGACAATCGCAACCAATCCATGTCCAATCAACCTATCATAGCTGTCCTCGTTCAACCGCTTATACTTTACTGTACTCTGCATCACGAAATTTTTTCGCCGCCTTTAAAATGATCCGATCTCCATTTAATATTGATTTATGTCTTTTTTTTTTGCTCGCATCGCCAGCCTGTTCGTATCTATTTGCTTTCTGATCTACGCCTTTCTTCTGTCGATGCCATCTTTCCCAATTTGTTTGTACTTTCTTTCTTTCTCGCAGGTCTTAAATTTTCTGCACCCCGTATCAGCATCCGAAATGTCTTCCTCGCTGTCCTCGACTCCCAGCTTTCCACGCTTTCCGTCTTTTTTAATTAGTCTCCATAGCTTCCTTTTAAAAAATTTATTGCCTCATGGACGATGATTTGATTCCAGAAACTTTGCTTTGACTCCACATTTCATGCAGCTCCTTTCTATTTAGGGGCTTTTATAAAAGCTTGATGTCTTTCGTTCCGACTGCCCCCGATTTCCGCCGTTCGTGCAATCCTCTCCTTTGAAACTTTTACCTATCTGATAGCCCCTCGTTTGGACTATTGTACCCTGTATGTATGTACACCAGCTAAATCGAGTTATCTCCTGCAAGCAACGACTTATTTTTGGCGGTGATCAAGATGTCATAGATTGGGCGCCAGGCTAAACCAAGCGCTAACTGCATCACTCTAAGTCGACGCCCTGCCCACGTTCTTCAGGAAGTACGTGGTTTCTCATCTAGAACTGAAAAGGTCGGCCACGAAAGACATATGCCAGCTCAACGGATGCTACGTTGCAAAAAAGAGTGACGGTGACGAAATTGATGTGATGAGATAAAAAGGATGCTAATTCCAGGGTCGAGTCACATCTAAAGCTGTCTTGACTTTCAAAATTCCAACTTGATGCAACTGACCAACCAGCCTCAGGCCAACACCGCTATGGAAGCAGAGTCTCGCGTTATCAACTTTGGTGCTGGCCCCTCTGCATTGCCCGATCCCGTCCTTGAGGAGGCAGCGAAAGGACTGCTCAACTTCAACAACACAGGCATTGGCATCGCCGAGATCTCTCATCGCTCAAAGAGTTCGCGGCATACATAAACAGCGTGGAAGTGCTGATCAGGGACCAGCTCCGTGTCCCGCCTACCCATTCCATCCTCTTCCTCCAAGGAGGAGGTACGGCGCAGTTCTCGGCCGTGGTGCTCAACATGCTCGCACGCCATCGACTCTTGTACCCCGACCTTCCGGATGAGGAGCGCGTGATGGATTATGTCCTCACTGGATCGTGGAGCAAGGCAGCAGTGCAGGAGGCTGCCCGTCTAGCCAATGGAACCACGGTGAACATCGCTGCGGACGCACGTACACTTTCGCCTGACGGCAAGTCGTTCGACCGGGTCCCCCCGCATGACGCGTACAAGTTCTCAGAGAACCCTGCGCTGATATATTACTGCGAGAACGAGACCGTTAGTGGTGTCGAGTTCTCGCATAACGAGAAGGACCCAGAGAGCTTCCCCTTTGAACTTCTCCCGCAGAACACCCTCCTCCCTCTCGTTGCAGATTATTCCTCCTCCTTCATGTCGCGGCCTATCCCGCGCCTGGCAGACCACGCTATCATCTACGCTGGGGCGCAGAAAAACCTGGGTCCTGCAGGGTTGACTATCGTCATCGTGCGCCAGGATTGCATCGTCGACGTGGACGCCGCTGCCAAACTCGGGGCTATTCCCGTACCCATCGGACTGTCCTACAAAATCTACGCGGAGAAGCAGAACATGCCCAACACTCCACCTGTGTTTGCGATCTACGTTACTGGGCTTGTCCTCAAGCGGAATGCGGAGTTGGGTGGGCTGGCGTATTATGAGGCGGCGAATAAGAGGAAGCAGGAGAAGTTGTACGAGGTTTTGAGGGAGGGTGAGCAAAAGGGGGTTCTGAGACCCTTTGTTAGGCCTGGTAGTGGAAGTTGGATGAATGTCGTTTTTGAAGTTCTGGGTGAGGGGGCTGAGGCTCGCTTTTTGACTGGTGCTGAAGCCAATGGTATGAAAGGCCTCAAAGGTCACCGGTGTGTTGGTTTTACATATACCTCAACTGCACTACACTAACTTTTCCTCTTTCAGTTCGGTTGGCGGCATCCGCGTTTCACTCTACAATGCCGTTACCGAAGAACAAGTTGACAAGGTCGTCGCCTACATTCGAAAATTCATTGCGGAGACCCAGTCGCCTTTAATTTCCGAAACCGTACAAGACGAGTGATATCATCACTACGTACGACAAGCTTGTCCTCCAACATCGTATCACTACTCAGCACAACGGCCCCTTCAACTGTGGTCACACTATTAACTATCCCCTTTTTTCCCTCTTCCATCGTTACTGCCACAAAAGTATCTCCTTACGTGGACGTTTAATTTCTTTTATGGATTTTGTAACTATTCCGGGCATTCATCTGTCCTTTGTAGCATAGGTACATATTTTACCAAGGTCCTGACTTCAAATAAAACATTATTCTTATTTGTATAACTACAATGCTGCATTTAATTATACTTGCGTTATTTCTATCACTCGGCATCGGCTATCTGAGTGGGGGCTTGGATGTGCGGTTACCGTCGAATTTTGGTCGAAGTGTCTATGTTGCATTAACCTTAGTGAAGTTTTAAGGTCACTTTGCCGGAGTGGTTAACGGGATCGCCTGCTACCCTGTAGTAGTTCAGCGGTTGGTCTTTGACCGCGAGTGTTCGAATCGCTCAGGTGACGCATTTTTTTTTTTTTTAGTAGCCGCAGTAGCTTCCTATTTTAATCACTGACCAAGGTTGGACCACCGATTAACTATGTAGTTCAAGAAGCCAATAATGGTACTTATGGTCACAACGAAAACATTTTTCCAAGCTAATCATAAATCATATCATAACATATTCATAATTCACAGCACGAGACCAAGAGAGAGAAACAGTCTCCTTAAAAAACGCTACTGCGAGCTTTATATTTCCGAACGGCAGACAATTCTTGGGAGCGTTTAAGACGAGCTTCTCCTGATATAAGGATGTCAGTCTTCAATAATGCACGCCGTGCAGGTCAGGGGACGTACTGCGAGCTGTATTGGAATCTTCTCCAGCATCCAGCCGACGACGACTCTCCCGGAGAATCTCGCTGACGCGTTCACTTGCAGCGGTCAGTGTGGTGAAATTGACTTCTTTCATATTTCTTGTGGGTCGCAATGCTGGGCTTGTGAATGGGGCCTTGTTCAAGCTAGGTGAAGGTGCATCCTACAGGTAGAAATAGGTCATAGCCATGAGAAGCGAAATAAGCAGCAGATTCGAGAGGGTACCCACAGAGAAAATGGAGAAGTCAAGCATTCGAGAGTCGACTGAACACAAGGTGGTGTCCCCGTCATCTGAGAAGTCCTGCGCTGGAGTAAAAGCGCTTTCGGAGACGTTCCTGAAGAAATTTCAATCACTGTGGGGATGATGTCTTCGAGCATGACGACTCCCACTTGCCTCATGGACATCATCGGTACTTCCTTCTCCAAAAAGCGCTGCAGGCCGAAGTACTCCTCTGGCTCCAGCAACCAAGCTATGGATAGAACAAAAGAAGGGGCCGTGTCAGCCTCCATTCTTTTTCAATGAAATGGAAGATAGTTCACCCACATCGAATGTCTCTCGGACGCCTTATCGAAGCTGCACTCCTACGCTGCCGTTGACAAACGCACTTTGTCTCACTGCCAACCATGATGGAAAGCGATCGTGCATAATAAGGAACCGAGCTGCTGTTCCAAGGGCGACAAAAGACAGAGCTGTTCCAGTTGGGAGGCGGGACGGGCACACTGAGACAAGCTTTAGCCACTGCAGAGCGTACTAATCGAGCGGTGATTTCGAGAGCAAGCCAAATGAGGTCGAACAGGAGGGTCATGGCTCCGGTCATGAACGGACGAGAGCAGCGTTCGGTATGAACGCCTGGAGCGCAAATGACCGGAGCGAATTGGACTAGGAAAGAATTTTATATTTCAGGTACTTTGTGCTGGAACTAGACCGGGTAGGAACACATTCGAAAGGCGACGAGACGCCCATAGTCAGCCATGGCAGCGCTAAAGAAGACTTTGATCGTTCTTGTTCCTGAACTCGAGTATAACAAACAATTCCGACAAAGACAAAGGAGCCCCGATCTCTGAAGTAAAAAGGTTAAGAAATTAGAAGTGTGAGAGACAGAGTAGGCATATTGTCACCAATATGCGATGATATAAGGAGAGGTCTTGGTACGTCGGATTGTATTATTTTAACTTTATTTCAAAATATGTGCCCCATGGCTGAGTTGGTTACAGCGTCCGACTGTTAAGATCACACAATCATTACATCGGAAGGTCGTGAGTTCGAGCCTCACTGGGGCAGCTGTTTTTTCATTCGATTTATTTTTACTTCGCATTACTTGGGAAACAACATGAGGGAAATCCTTTGGCCCTTTTTCATTTTGGTTTTGCATGCAACAGTAGAATGGGTATCAACAAGAGTACTAGTCTAGCTCTTAATTTTGCGTCGTATGTTCATGCCACTATGTACTAATCTTCACGGCCACGACAGAACACACTGACAGCCTGGTATGTATAAGAAACCTGGCAACTCGCGCTTATTCCTGTAAGGCTATTTATACTGCGTAACGGATGTCAAAGTGATGCGCAGGCTCCAGGAAGTCAAGTTCATTCTGGGAGGCATAGAGCTCCCTCACGAAGCAGATATTGAGATAACGTAAAGGAGTGTTCGCATTTCTAGCCTGGTCCCATGCCAACAACAAAGGTCGTGCGTCCGCCCCTTGGAAGGACCAACACTTTCTCCGCTCCATGCGCTTGATAGGTTTCGATGCTTGGTACGGCCATGGAGCCCATCGTAATTGTGCCTGCTATAGGCAGGGCCGCTACGGTAACCTTTGGCAGAGAAAATTCTCCGTGGTGAAGGGCGATCAAAGTGATTGGTACAGTGTGCGTTGCTCCATCCTGCAATAATGGACGTAAACGATTAGCAATCCATTGCTACTGATCAGGCGCCGAAATACTGCACCTTAGCAATGAAGTCCCCTCTCTTCGGACCACTAACTAGCCATTCACGAACCATCTCCTCGATATTGAAGCGAAGTAGGTATTCCTTATTGGTGTCACTTGGTGTCGAACCCCAATGGAAGGTCGTCTGTATTGTTAAGTTTGCGGAGATAGGTTGGCCAGCATACAGTGACGACAGTTGACTGTCTTCAGATTCCTTGGCAAAAGGTGTTGAAATAATGCGGATAGAAGCTGCAGCGACGACCTTTGGAAGGTTAAATAATGCTTTTAGCATAGCAGTAGGTAGAAACCTTACATTCATGAAAGGCACATCCACTGGTATCTTTATTTCGCGCCAGAAACCTATTGGTGACTCGGGGTGCCTGTGTTCGGCCAAGCGCTATATAGAAAAATAGGTTTAGGCAGTAAAGACTCCTCGCAACGATGCCACCGACCTTCCTCGCCTCTTTGAACAGATCAGAGATTTCGCCACTTTGCTTGTCCAGCTTTGCGGGCTCTGGGACATTCAGCTCCCCAGTAATCCCATACATATCCACCCATGCAGCATCGCTCTCGAGAGCATCTATAAGCTTGCTCACAACGGTGATGCGATGATGTGGACTCGAATCATTTTCCTCTATGATAGTCCGGACCTCACTCTCAATTATAGATTCAACCTCTGGGCGGAATGTCACCATCAGATGCCTCTATATAAACGATATGTGGTCACCTTCTCGTAACATCCTATACTTGATGTTCAACGTAAGCGACTCCCGCACTTTTCCAGATAAATTTATTAGAAGTGAATATGTGACAATGAAAACCCGAATACCTGGTCCGTTCGAAGAGTCAAGACTAAACAAGAAATTGGCTGGTAGCACAGGTGTAACGGTCTAAGTTTGTCAGACGATGAGTACAGTATCAAATAAAGGACCTACCACCACCCGACGCTTCTTCATAGCTGGCTGTATGGTTACACCATCTAGACCATCTGGAGGTAGATCCAACCTTGCGTCTGAGATACGAACATGCTGATGACTTGTGGTTGACACAGTAAACTTGGATATTAATCTATGGTATGCATTAGACATATCACTAAAGTAAACCGTTATACGTTACCTTGTCCCGCGGAAGAAGTCCTCGACATTCACAGAGATGGGTAAAGTGGTGATAAGGATCCTTGAGAAGTTCGCTATCCGAGTAATGGAGGGTTCGTCCACTGTAACATACTCGACTTCCAGGTTGACTTTCTAAACATTAAAGCATTAGGGATAAAAACTTGGGGGAATTTGTGGACGTACCATGGCAGCCAGCGTTGATGCATCGGAGTGAGGAACAAGGAAGGTGATATCAGAGTCGTCCTCGACATCTTCTATATTGATTCCGCCCTCCATGGCGTTGAAAGTATCAACAGCTTGGTCTTGAAAGGAATGAATAAATTTACAGTCGACGAACTAAAAGACATGACTTACCCCCGATAATACGGCCTCTTGACATCGAAATGAAACTGAAGGCGACGTCAATCTGATAGTCAATTTGCCAATCTTGTTCCTTCCTGACGATACTACGACCATAAGGGACTGCGGCTTTCCAAGTTCAACTGTACGACATGCAATTTAGCCATGACATATAGCATATCGACAAGATACACACTTCGATTAGACTGAGAAATTCGCACATTGAGCGCAAGTGGGTCGCTGGGAACTCGTACAAGAAGGGGTGCTTGCTGGGTGGACTTGCTAGATGCTTTACGATAAGTCCATTGAAGTAGGAGACGCGCTGATCGAACTTCGGTGGATTCGAGCAAAAAAGAACCCGACTTTGAGGTCTGACATATCGATGAGTACTTATGGAGCAAGGAAATGGAGAAAAAGGTCACATACAGAGCAAAATAACGTAAAGGTCGACTTTCCGGAGGGACAACCTGATGGTACTTTTGATGTATAACGAAATTTCTCAGAATCCCGTCCAATAACTATGACACTGATCTCGTCAACCGGAAAGGCCTGCAGAATTGTTTCAGATAATAAAATACATATATTCAGCAAACTTACACATGGTAAGTGGTTCGTTACAACCACATCAACGAATGAGCCATCCCACGTCTCAGCCAATTTCGCATGACTCGAGACCTTAATGGATATGACAGGGTGATCAGGATGAGCCAAGTCTAAGGATGTCAGTTAGGTTGAATTAAAGGAAGACGAAATGCTAGAGCTTACCACTCTCTAGATTTTCTACCGAAGTTCTAAGGGAACCAACAAGGCGTGTCACGTAGTCAACTTTATCAGCTTCATGGATCAGCATTTCCGTGTCAGGATGCTCCACGTAGGTCTTCAGAAAGGACAAAACGATGTGTATCCACTCCACATTTTTAGGCGTATCTAGGTTCGCATGTGTATCCAAGGCCCTTGAAAGCATGAAAGATTCTAACGACGTCCATAAATGAGGGGCGTAATGGGCAGGCAGTGATGTGAAGGTATTAAGGGCAGCGGTAAGGTTTCCGCGATGACTACAACGGCGAAATCAGTCAACAAGTGAGTAGAATTTTTGCATAAACCTACAGCTCAAGAGCTGCCAAGTTTCCATGAAGTTTAAGAGCAAATTTCCGTCGACCCGACTTGGCATATAGGTCGATAGCACGGTTCGTCACGGCAACATACAACTTGTAAAAGGCCTCAGGGGCGTTCACTGCTGCATCTAGTGATTCATTGGAAAAATGTAACTTGGTACCAACCGGCAGGGACCTGGATGAGATCAAAGATATGGAGAATGGGGAGGTTCTAGGTAAATGACCAGCTTCAATACCAACGACGTCTAGCTGAACGCAGCATACGCATGAGCAGTGTGATGAATGGAGAGGAGTAATGACACTACCTGACTACGAGCAAGGTCCAGGAGCTCACCCTTCCCAGCATTCGCGGACCCAGACTTTGATGTATCAACCTTGAAAGATGTCGTCCACGTACTTATTTGCTCAACAGCACTGAGAGCCGAAGAATATATCCAGCTTTCGATGAAAAGAGGAGGGAGAGTCGACTAGAGATGTTTTGAATAACTGCTGTAGCCCGAGCGCAAATATAATGCTCACTTACCTCAACTTCTCGAAGTCGTTCGCCAAAAGCGCAAAGAAAGTAGCCCACTTTGGTGGTAATTTCACTCAGTCGACCCAACTTTGCGAGCAACTGACATTGTCGAGCGAGGAGGTATATCCGGAAATCAAAAACAGATATTGTGTTTGCCAAGATGAGATCTCGATAGGACTTTCTCGTTAACGATAATAAAGGCAATAAATCTTCCTGAGGGTTAGGCTGAATGAGAGACCCAAACCACGACATGTTTTTCTCCTTTGAGACTTTATAAAACAGAGTTTCCAGTTCATCATATGGAATTAGTGCTTCGTCAAAGAGATTCATGCCCTCGAATGAAGCAGCTAGACTCTCCTAAGAGTCTGTCAGAATCAATCATGTCAAAACGTGGCGATCGTACCTTCAAAATGAAGAAGGTGCAGAAATTCCAGCCAGGCATTGATTGCTGGTTGTCAGAACGTTTGACTTCTTCTTGCCGTGCGTCAATAGCGGCATCGAAAGCAAATATCAAGCCCTCCTTCATTCTATTAACAAACTCGGCCCATACCAGAGGCGTATCGTTTCCCGTTGCCCAATTTATTTGCACGACGCTAAAAATCCGTTGAGAACTAGTCGGTCGACACAACGGAGTACAATTTACCGATCCCTTTTATCCGAATTGAAATCCGTCTTCAGCTTATCCAGAACAGAGCCTTTTATTTGAAAGAAGTTTCCACCCGCTTGTCTAGCGGGATCAGGCCGAATAATTTGAAGGATTAACCATTCTTGGTTCTTTCGAGAAGTAACCGAGGTATGCCAGTCCTTGATTAGTTTCTTTAGAGTCGTCCGGTAAGTCTCCTGGTCACTATCCTTGAGGTTTACATCAGGTAAGAGTAAGAAGTATTATAGTTAATCACGTACTTCACAATGCACGATATATATGTGCAATAGTGGTTTCTCTAGCAAAGTGACAGGGACTTGCGTGTGCTCGTCACGTAGAGCTTCGAAAGGTACAAGAGAGACATCCAGTTCTTGAATGGTCTTAACAGATCCTCTGGACGCTGCCTTCCAATGTATATTTCGTAAAGGTAATTGAGCCAGTAAAGCAGCATGAACTTTGTTCCAATTTGGAGATGCAAGGAATAACGGAGGCGCCGTGAACGAAATCAGAGCCCGTTGACTTGACGATGACGAGGACATGTTGGCCGTTGGCGAGAATGCGACACTCTTTTCCTATCTATTAAGTATTCAAGACGGACGCGCCCAGAGAAATAAGTTGTTGGAGAATGTT